ACCACCCTGGAAGTACGGGCCACAGTACTGGGAAGCGAGTCCGTGCTGCTCCGACACGGGCAACGGGCCTCTTTCAACGACTTCGTGCTACACGGAGGGAAGCTCCCCGCTCTCGCCTCCTCATCGGATGGGGACCCTTCCACGCCATCCTCACGTTCTGCGCCCTTGCCCCCTCCACGATTTTCATCGCCATCACATATTGTAATTGCGGAGCCCAATTATGAGATTACATTTGCTGTGTTTACGCTAATTAAGTCATTAGACATAATACATCTAATTACACAAATTGGCTGAAAAATTATTTTGATAAATGATGGGGATTTTTATGCTGTGGATGGAATTGTGATGGGGAGATCGACCCTGGAGGGGCTTGGGGACCGTGGGCCCCTGCCCCTCTGGGCTCGCTGACGGCCTCAGTGAGCTGCCCTTGAAGGACCAGCATGTGAGCCTTAACCATTACGAATCGGGCGATTCTTGACCCTGCAAGTGTCCATCGTGCTATGAGCAGGCACAGAGAAAGCAACGTATTTCCAGGCCGGGTGACTCTCCCTCCTTTTCCATTGCCAGCCCCAGAAAGGTTGGGAACACTTGAAATTGGGACCTATTTTCTCCCAAAACATGCACTATGAGATGCGTTTTCTACCAAAATGCATGTTTTGGGACAATAGGCAATGCCGATTTCCCTGCCGCAGGCGTCTTCTCTTGCCTTGGGCTACGGAGGCCTTCGTGGGGCGAAGACGCCTGTAAGCCTTCTCTGCAGGGGGCTGTGCCCTGTGCATTGCCAGGTATGACCCAGCTCTGAACCCAGCTCATGCTGTGTGTTGTGTGTGTGTGTGTGTTGTGTGTACATGTGGGGCTTATTTCTATGCATTTGTAAACCGTGCTAAATTTTCTTGCCAAAGAAAGGCCATATATAATAATCAAGGAATTAAAGGTTGGAATCAAGGAATTGGTGGTAAAAAAGGGTGTCATTTAGTGGATGACTGTGGCAAAACATTCAGACATAAATCGCCAGGCGGAGAAGGTATCCTTCTGCGACTTCTTAACGCACACAGATCTGAGATGGCCGCCCTTCTTACCAGCACAGGTCACGCGTCTCTAAGATCAGCCTCTGAACCAGAGGATGGCCAAGGTAACTCCAGGACACCAGTATCATGTCCCTCTTACTCACCTTTGTCCCAGGGAAAACCTTCCCGGACTCCATACCCTTCACAAGGGCCTCGTCCGAGCCTTTTCGGCACCCTTCCCAACTTTGCAATCTCCTTCGTAAGGATGCTGTAAATCATGATCATTCTCATCATCATTATTATGTTGAAATACGCCGTCTCGACGTTGCCTTCATTGATATTCTTGTCCGATTGTGTGAGGAAGCAGAGAAGTCCCATTCTCGCCGTTCTGCTCATTTACAATTTGAAATTAATGAACCGGAACAGAAGGAATCATTCAGGTGGGACTTGAGATGTTACAAAACATACGATTCTTCCATTACTTCATTTAACTTCGAATGCTGCGCAGATCAATAAATCAATCTTTGTTATTTTCATCTTGTCGATACGGCATGCCTGCAGTTTCGTTTTGTGTTTCAAGAAAATAGCAGCCCTGCCCCCCGCCTGCCCAGCCTGTCCTCCGTTCCTTCCCAGCCATAGGATTGGGCATTGTCCCGCCTGACCCACAGAGGGACGCAACCTTCCCGCGCACTCCGAGTGGGAATGCAGAAAAACCGGGATGCCGGAGGCCTTCTGGACGAGCTTGTGCGGCACACTCGCACCCGCTCAGAGCGCAGGCCACTGCTGCCGCCACATCCCTTCTGTCCCACCAGTCAAGATGGAGCTGGAACAGGGGAGCAGGACGCCGTGGCGCACGGGGCGGGCATGCAGGGGTCCTCAGCATTGTGCCGTGGTCCTCCCTCCTCCCCGAACCCAAATTCCAGGGCAACGTCTGGCAGAAACATTCTGCCCATCCAAATAGTGCTAGCCGAGCGCCGCTGAATCTTCCCATGGAGCAAACAGCTGCCCAGGATGGTGGGGGGGGGGGGGGGGGGGGCGCATGGGCTGCCGCAGGCCCCACTGCTCCTCACAGTTTTATCCATGCCTTGGATGAAGATTGGGAGGAATGACTTGCCAGGAACGCTTGCGGGCGGCCCGAGACTCGCTGGGGGAGCAAACACGCCAGAAGTCAGGAGGAAGAGTCATGGTGTTCCCGATAGGCTGCAGCACTGGGATGGAGGCTGCCGGAAAGCGTTCCGGTTTCTTCAGCATCCTTCCAGGAGGCTACGCTCTGCCAGAACAGGAAGGTGGGACTCAAAGCAAGGAAGGAAAAAGAGGCCTCGCGAAAGGCGTTTCTACGGCACCTGGCGGGGCTGGCGGGGCTCTTCCACCCTCTGCCCTCCTCGTCGTCATTTTATTTAGTGATTGAAAACGTTTGCAGACCGTCCCAGGACCGAAGGCTTACGAGGGGTGGCACAGCAGCAGCTTCAGCAAGCTTCCCCCGAGTCCAGCTGGTCCGTTCGGAACTAACTGGAGCTTCCAAACCCGTTTCTGTGCGGTTCCAGGCTCCTTAGCAGGCATTTCCCGTCCGTTTCGGGAGCAGAGGGTTGCAGCAGGCGCTTGTGCAGGAAGCACTGCACTATGGCGTGTGAAGAGGGCTTTTTGCTTGTGGGGCGCACCACGTCCGCCTTTCCAAGCTCCAAATCAGAATGAGAGCACAAGTCCACCAAACCTGTTCACCAGCTCTCCAGCGCGTGCTCGCCACCCTCCTGTTCCTAGTTCAGTTTATTTTGCACAGTTTGGTTTTGCTGGGCTGAATCAGCTCCACTTTAGCCGGGGGGGGGGGGGGGGGGAGCGCAAACCAGGCAGCGCTTGAGCTGCGCAATTTCCCGGCCACGCAGAGCGAGCAGGGCTTGCGGACACGAGCAGCAGCCGGGCACGAGGTGAGGGGTGAGGTGATCCTCAGAGGATCCCGAGTCGCCCCCTGCTTTGCTGCCTCAGTTGTGTGCTTTGCGGGTGGTGTGGTGTGCGTCCTGACTCGTTCCCACGCACGTTCGCATTCCAAGTGGGGCTTCGGCTGCCACCCGCTTTGGAAGCCATTTCTCAGCCACGTGGAGCCTGTTTGGAGTCTTCCTTGCATTCACACGCCTCCATTTTGCTTGGGGGAAACGTGTGTTTTTAAAAGTGTGCATTTTACCTAAAAAGATAAAACCGAACGTGTAGCTCTGTGCGGGTTGGAGGGGATTTCTTTTGTGTGCAACTGTGCATTTTTGCGAGTAGGTGTGTTCAGACATGCACATTTTGCACAAGTTCAGTGACGTGTGCAATCTTCCGGAGAAGGGGCTTCCTGCCTCTGCCCAGGCTGCACATGGGACATGTGCACAGAACCGGCAAGCGGGAATGAGCTTTTTGTACACCCCTCAAAAAGAGTGAGCGAGAGCGAGTGGGAGAAGTGAGGGACCCCCCAGCTGATGCATGTGTCCCCCCTCTTTTCTATTTCGGTTCTCCTTCCTCTCCAGCCCCCTCCCCAATAGCCTTTGTCCGTGGCACACTCTTTTAGGGGGGCTGAGCTTCTGCAGGCCTGTGTTTTCCGGCACAGCACCGGCTCCTTCCCGAGCACTGCCAGTTCCCCTCGGTCCCCTTGCCGGAAATGGAGCACCGTCATTATAGGCTCCCCTGCAATCCATGCACGCTCGTTAGCATAATTGCTGTCTAAAAATAAACGGTAAAGGAACGCAACGGAAACGTGATTCACGGTCGTTCGGGCTCTGCAGATGTGTGGGCAGGGGCGGCCATGAAGTTTTGGGGGGCCGGCATGGAGGTGCATGGACCTGCCCCTGGCCCAGCTGCTCCCTCGTAGCTTGTCTGCAACTCCACTGCAAGCCTTGCCATGCAGTTCGTGTGTCCCTACTCAGAAGTAGGCCCGTTGAGTTCAGTGAAGCTTACTTTCAAGTAATGTACGCGGGATTGCAGTCCTAAGGAGTCGTTCTCCACTTTTCTTGCAGCATTTATGTATTACAATGGGCTGTCCCAGCTTTTCAATTTATTCAGATCAGTTTACAGTGTTCCTTAGTTAAAAATGAATGCCTGATTTATTCACCATGAAAAATCTTCTCCATGGCCCTGTTGTGAATGATGGGTGGTACCGAAGCCACAGAATCCCCTCTCCCCTTCGCCTCCAAGAGAGCCATGAAAATATTCCCCTGCCATCAGGTTTAGCTTGCGATTATTCTCCCGCGATGTCGGTTGGTTTGTTTCCTTGCTCCAGATTCTTTTGCCTCCGGGTTGTAAATGTTGTGATTTTATTGTGTGTTTCATGGAAGCCATCATGTCGACCTGTTGAAACATACATTTTGGAAATACTGTAGTAATGGGGGAGCCATTGAACATAGCTCTGAATCTGCTATAAAATGCATTTTTAAAGCCTAGCTGTAAAATATATCAAACCCAGCACGCTGTGGAGGGATCAGGGAACGGGGCTGGCGCTCTCCTGGCCTGCGCCAAGCCACCTGAGCCGACACGCAGCCCGCCACTCCCCTGCTCTCTTGCCAGAGGGTTTGCGGTGGCCGCAGGCATCTGAGATGCACGCAGGACGTTGGCTCTTCCAAGTCCTCCGTTCGCCGGCTCGCGCCCCATCCCATCCTCAGTGCTGGAACTTGGGGTGTCGCGCCAGCCCTCAGTGCTGGCCGTGAAAGACTCCCCCCGAGCTGCGGTGGTCCAGGGGTCTTAGGACCCCAGCAAGAATCCTCCCCCTCGTGGGGATCACGGGTGCCCATTTGTTTGTGGTGGGGGAGATCCCGGGAAAGGGGTGCAGGGCTTCCGCCGCGCGCTCCCCACGTGCTGGAGTTCAGCTGGCGCGAGCGGGCAAGGGAAGGCTGAGCCCCCGCCGGAAGGGCCACGCAGCTGGCGTGCAGGAGCCGGGGGGGCCCTCCCCACAGCGACCCCCCGGGACGGTGCTTGCCCCGCCGAAGCCCTGACCTGCCCCTTACGTGTCTCCCGCTCTGCCGGCTGCAGGGGGAAACCAAGATCCTGAAGCTGAAGAACCTCCGGCCGCAAGACTACGCCAACTACAGCTGCATCGCCTCCGTCAGGAATGTCTGCAACATCTCGGACAAGATGGTCTCCTTCCGGCTGTCCAACAGGACAGGTAACTCCCCGAACCCCGCCTCCTGCCGGTCCCCGGGCTTCACCCCTTGCCGCGGTCTCTTCGCTTTCCGTTGCGCTCCGCGGGGTGGGTGGCGAGGGCGATGCCCAGGGAGCAGCAGCGCCGGTCGCAGCCCGTCCTTCCCGGCCCCCTCTGCCCGGAGGGCCTGCGTGTTTACTCACGTGCGAGGAAGTGCGTCACCTCTAACGAGGCTGCGTACGGTGTTTGCAGACGGTGTGACAATAGCAGGTCATATTATGCAACACGCTGGAGTACGTTCCTGGGAGGCAGAGTTGTCTGAGTTGCCGTTAATTAACTCCAGAGAACAGTTTTGCAAAGTGTTCCTACTCCGCCTTTCGCCTAGGAGGTTATCTGCTGTCTGTCTGTCTGGCCATCTTTCTGCATCAACATAACTGGAGGGGGCCTTGGTGCCTTTCAAACCTTCTCCCCCACCTATTTATCTATTTATTTTTATTTAGCACTTTTCTAGAGCATCCCATTAGCGAAAACTTGGGATAGGTTAACAATACAAAATGTAAAAAAAATTAAAACAGAGTCCTAAAATTCACCTATTAATAAAACCCCAATTAAAACAGTCAGCTCTTAAGACATTGGGAAAATAAAAAGGGTTTGGCCTGGCGCAGAAAAGAATAAAGTGATGGTGCCAGGCGAACCTCTCTGGGGAACGCATTGCGCAGCTGGGGTGCCCCCACGGGGAAGGCCCTGCTCTGGGTAGCCTCCCTCCTAATCTCCTTCAGGGAGGGCACCCGGAGAAAGGCGTCTGCCCCAGGTCTGAAGGGGTGGGCAGGCACATACGGAAGGAGGCGCTCCTTCAGGTGAGCAGCCCTGCGAGTGTTGCTGGCCCCACCCCAGCATTTCTGCACCCGGCGCCTTGCACACGGGGTCAAAGCGCAGGTGGGGCTCCAGGAGAGGCCGCATGGGTGCGTGTGGCGTGCCGCATCCGGGGCAGCCGCAGGGATGTGGCGGAAGGGCTGCTTGTCCAGGCCTTCCTCCAGCTCCAGCTGCGTCTGTCCTGCAGGCAGCAGGCCCGTGATCTTCCCCAGCCCCTCGCCCACCCCGCCCCCTGGCCCACTGGTGGGGGGAGCTGCCGGCCGGCCCCGCTGGCGGCTTTCACAGCCCGGGCCCTCTGGGGCGGCCAGGCATGGAGACCACGCCGGGACTCTGTGGGGCCTCCCGGGTGCGCAGCAACATCCCGCTCGGAGAAGCTCCCCAAGGACCCCCAGCGATGGGGAAGCAGAAGGCAAGGGAGGGGCCAAGCTGCCAAGGACGCCGGGCTACCGCCGCCCGGACCGCGGGAGTGGTCTTTGCACCTTTCAGGCAGAAAAGGGTGCAGAGGCCGGGAAAGACCCGAATGACTGGTGCCGGGGAACGGGGCAGGCCCCGGAGAAGGGTCAGGGCGCCTGGGGGGCAGGCCAGGGGGGCAGGCCAGGGGCCAAGCTGGCCAGATCCGCCCGCCAGCCGCCCGCTGGGCTCTGCAGAGAATATCCTGGCTGGTGGGCTCCCTCGGCGTTCCCCTAAATCCACCCCTTCATGGATGCATGTCAGCCGCTTTCCAGGGTGCGGAGGGGCTGCTGGAGAGACCCAGCCGCCGGCCTCTCTGCACCCAGACCCTGGCTCACCCCTCAAAGGAGCTGGCGGGGGGCAAGAATCGCCGGAGGAGAGCAGCGCCGGCGGAGGGGCTCTCGGCGAAGAATTCGGATGCGCCAAGTGCCCCAAGACACTAACGAAGGGCGCTGGCGGAGGAAGCCCTAACGAGGCTCCTGCGCTGCATCTGCGGCAAGATGGGGGCTTATCTGGGCTTCGCACTTGGGTCTCGTGCCAATAAATGGCCCTCCCTGGAATGGTTGCTCGATTGGGTGGTTCTGGTTTTCACGGGGAGTGGGGGGTGGCGGGGAGAAGGCACACCCAGGGAATGCAGTGCCTGAGTCCTCTCCTCCGAGAGGGGACCGGGCCGGGGAACCAGCGCAATATCCCACCTCTGGCTGTGGCAGCTGGACCCCGGGCGGTGGACCATGGAGGGGGTGTGCCGGTGGGACCACCAGCAACCCGGCACCTGCAGGAATTTGAGGGGGCAGCACTGGGGAGCAGGCTGAGGTGGAAACAGACCCTGCCTCCTCCAGCCCCACACTGCCAGCACGGATTGGCAGCCGCTCTCCAGCCCGGCTGAGGGTGCTGGAGAGGCCCCGGCTGCCCACCAGCCAGGCAGGGCTACGGGGGCCGAGCTCATGCCCCCCAGGGGTGCTACCGCCACCAGCTCCACCCCGGTTTTGCCCCCGCGTGGGGAGGGCGGGGCTGTAAGGAGGCAAGGCTGAGGATGCAGTGCCCCCCGGCTCCACCCCACCCCGCGGGCAAGGAGTCCCCGGCCGGTCACCAGTCTCCGGTCCAGAGGGCTGCCCTTTCCCCTTCCAGACCAGGAGGGGCCGGGCTCCTGCCCCCGGGTGGTTGCTGGGCGTCCCGAGATGCTGCCCACGCAGCCTCGAGAAGGCCGGGCCGGGCCGCCGGCGTGGCCTGTGGGGGTGCAGGCCCCCAGGGCCACGGCGTGGTGGAGGACGTGGCCTGGAGGACGCGTGCCCCGATGGCGGAGGGGCAGTGCAGGGCGGCCTCAGAGCAGCCCTGGGCACTGCTCCAGGCGGGAGAGCGAATTTCGGAGCTCAAGGCCCTGGCCCAGCTGCAGGGTTTCCGAATGGCCGGAAGGGCCCACCACGAAGCGGCCTGTAAAGTTGAGTCTGACACCTCCTGGGCGTATTTGCCCTGAAGCAGGCCTATTGACTTAAATGAGATTACTCCGTTCATTGGCTTCCAGCCAAAACAAGGCCAGCCTCTCCCAGGCTCCAGGATTTATCCCAGTGAAACGAGGAGGCTGCCGTGTTGGAACAAACAAACAAAGCCTCTTGGAGTACAGGAGCTCCAAGCACACTTGCACACTTCTGTCGGCAGGGTCATGTCTCTGCTTTTTAGTATGCTGTCTAGATTTGCCATAGCCTTCCTCTCCAGGAGCAAGCGTCTTTTAATTTCTTGGCTGCAGTCCCCGTCTGCGGTGATCTTGGAGCCCAGGAAAATAAAATCTGTCACTACCTCCATTTCTTTCCCATCTATTTGCCAGGAAGTGATAGGACTGGCCTAGACCTAATCATAGCAAGATATCTTGGCATGTCTCAGTTCCCGAGGGTGGCCTGTGATGCTTCAGGAATGGGGGCAGCCGCCCCCGGCACCGGACCGTGCTTGGCTCCCACCTTGGCCTTGCCAACTGGCGCTTCCCAGGGTGTCCAGCCACCTTGGTCTGCGCAGGATCCCTCAAGGCCAGGAAAGCGGGATGGCACGGACCCGCCCCACACGGCTTGCTGTTCTGCTCAGGAAGGCGAAGGACGCCTGTGCTTCTGACGGTGCAGCTCAGCTCATGGCTCCTCCTGCCACGGCAGCGGCAGAGTCTGGCAGCGGGCATCTCTTGATGGGTTAGGGGGCACGGCCTCTCCCAGCAGCGGCTCAGGACCCCAAACGCCTTGCCCTCGCAAAGAGAGCTGTGGTGGCCCAACAAGTTACGTCTCCGTGCCTGAACCCGCCCCCCATCAGTGCCCTGTTTGCATTTGTCATGCGGGGAGGGGGCTTCACCGAACGGTGCGTTTCTTTGTTCAGTGCTAGAATCGAAGTGGCCGGCACCTCCCGTGTACGCGCCAAGCCCAGATTCCGATCCGTGGAACTCACAGGGTGTTTGTGGGTGAAGGGGAGATTCATCGCACATTATTTGACTTTTCATGCGCCCGCACGGTCCTCACGTCTCCTCACAGCCATCGCCGGCGCGCCTTGTTGGATTGCTCAGTTTGCAAAGAAAACAGATGTGATAACAGCCCGTCAGAGGAAGATGCCCCATGATTCATGGTGTCTCTGCTTTGCAAGAATGTCGCAGCAAGAGCACCGGGCTCCAAGGTGCACTTCCACGGGATCGTAAATCAGCGGCTTGTTTCCGAACGGCGGGGGCGAAACCTGGAATGGGGAAAGCGCATCGTCCTGGCGGTTCCCGTTCCGCGGCAGAGGAAAGCTGCAGGACGGGAGGAAGCATGCTGCCAAAACCATCATCCAGGAGCTGGCTGCTTCCTGCGCTAGGTAGACGGAACAAACCTTTTTGCAGAAAGCTTTGGCACAAAATCCGAGCTTTGCTGTGCAACCTCCATGGCTTGAGGTCCGCAGAAGGGAGGAAAGCACCCCTTTGGCTCTTGTGATGGAGCCGTCTGCTGGCCCCGCTTTCTCATCAGGATGCTGCCGAGCCTGGTCAGAAATACAACAATTAAGCAGATGCCACGAAAGCAACACACGTCCGTCGGGAAAGCCTCAGACACCACGGAGGCCTGCAGCGCCTCCCTGGTGCCATTGGGAGCAATACCCCCAACGAATTCATGCCCGTCTGCAGGCACTTCGTGGCATCTTTTGGGCTCAATGGTTGCCACTGGTCCTGCACCAGGTGCTCCAGACTTTCTTGGCCATGGTGGGGATGCTCCCAGCGGGCAGGGTTCCTCTGCCCGGCAGGCCCATCTGCGTCTCCAGCCAAGGAACCGGCATTCAGATCCGGGCACGGTTTCTTGCAAAGAGCAGGCAGCTTCGCATCCCTTCCTTCTGGTTCTTGCACGCAATTGCAGGAAATAGCCACTCAAGGCATCCGTAGAATAGCTTTTCCAAACAAAAAACACTAAATCTGCAATGGAAGGGTCAAAATAAAACCAGATCCAGGCGCAGCAGGTTGAAATTATCTGTCCTTAGAGAGACAAGTGGCTTTTTAAACACAGAGGTCCAAACTTGGGCACGGGGATGGAGGGTCCTACTCAGAGGACAATGACACCCAGACTTCCTTGGCCAGGAAACCCTGCATAAGGCACCGTGCTATTTCGGGCTGCACAAGAAACCAGTTTCAGTTCATTGCGGATGAGGATCTGCCCAGTTTCCACCATCCAGGCTGCGTGGTCTGAGGTCGAGGTCCGTCCACTTCTGGG